ACCTTTCCATAGAGACGCTTTTTAAAACCTTGAGGGAAAACTCGAAAGGGGAAACCCAAAAAGGACAACATCTGCTAACAGTGAGCTTGGACTGTTATATCTATGGTGGATTTGACCCTGGAAACAATGGGAAAGTGAGGGATGAATCATACCAACCTTGATATACCATCGGGTGTTTTCTCTTCTGCAAGTTGCTCCAACTGTTCTCTTAGAGTAGTCACATACTGCAAGAATAGTTGGGCCAAAATGAATAATGATCTTCGAATCACTTTTACACGACTGAAAATCAAACCATTTGAAACTTTCACTCAATCATCTGGACGTACGTGTATAAGTTTAGCCTGATCCTTCTGATGAGGGGCAGTTGCCAGCAGCCGCTTCAAGTTGATTTCAGTTTTACTTAAACCCATTAAGAAAAGAGGAAAAGAATCCTACAGAATCAAGAGAAACGTAAACATTGCAAGCTACTCAACAATCACATCGAGTAAATAAAACACGGACGCATCCGCACAATCCAGTCATTAGTATCAAAACACGGTAAGGAATTGCCATTAGAATATGCCTCTACGAATCATCAATATAATGAAGCACAGGATTCGGAAGTCTAAATCAATGAAATCTACAAAAAATGTAAAACTTACAATTTCGTTTCCATGGAAGTGAAGTAATAACAATTACGACCTCAGAAGAACAGAACAAAACCGAGATCTTTTCTTTTTCTTTGTTACAATCCATCATCAAATCTTATCTTAGCCCAATCACAAAAGAACTCCGCGATAAAAACTAATTCACATTCAAGAAATTTAATTTACACGCTCCCAATCGCCTGCTACTTAGGCTTCAAATCTAAACCAATTAACCAGTAAACTGAGATCCATTTCCAATATTATCTAATGCTGTCCGATCCAATGTCGATAAACAAAAGCAGCAGCGACAGGATTTGATATTTCAAACAGAACAAATTAAGATCACGATAACAGGTAGAACTTAGAACTAACCTCTCTAAACACACAGAAATCGGCGTGTGGGCGTGAGGCAGCAGCAGAAAGGGAGATACGACGAGAAGAAATAAAATTTCCCGCCAAGGGGCTGCCGGAAGAAATATATCGGAGGCGCGGGTACGGCTGCCGGTCGCTGGGAGCCAAGAGCGAACAAGAAAATGAGAAGGGGCTTTTTCTTACTTTTATTTATTATTTATTTTTATATTTTTATTTTATTTTATTATTAAATTTACGAGAAACGTAAAACGTAATTTTATTATCAAATATTTACTAAGCTTTAATTTAATACTTAATTGTTTGCGTTTAATTATTCATTAATTAAGATTAAGTTTTTTATTTTCCTTATGCTGACGTGGAAATTTTCGCCTTCCTCCTCACTCCACCTTGCTCGTAGTCAAAAACAGCCCGAGAGCTTTCTCTTCGCTTCTAAAACTCAAAAGTCCACCGTCGTCTCCTCCGCCGCCGTCTTCCCCAAATCCGATACTCTTTCTCTGCATATCGAAGCTTCAACGCCTTCTTCTTTTTCCAGCTCTTGATCTCCGGTATTACAGAGAAAAATGGCGTATGTGGACCATGCGTTTTCGATAGCAGACGAGGACATTGTTATGGATTCTCCGTTCCCCGTCAACAATCAACCTCCTATCAAGGAGATCGCTCTTGCTGTTTCTCTTCTCGTCTTCGGCATGATTGGAATCGTCGTTGGTGCCTTCATGGCCAGTAATCGAGTCGGGGGTGATCGTGCTCACGGTACTTTTTTTCGCCTTCCTTTTGTTTTTCTTCTTGATTTTGCCCTAGTTCGAATGAAAATTTATGGTTCATTCTCGAAAATTTCCAGGGGTGTTCTTCTCGTTGTTGGGAGCTCTCTTGTTTATTCCAGGGTCCTACTACACGCGGATTGCCTACTATGCTTACAAGGGCTACAAGGGCTTCTCCTTTTCCAACATTCCCCCTGTCTAAATGCTCCAAGTTCCTAACCATTTCTCTACATTTGTACAGATTTTCTTCTCCAGATTTCTTCATTGTCTACGTTGATTCCACCTTCCCGTTTCCCTTTGACTACTCATTACTCTGTATCCCTTTGTCGTTGATAGTTCTTCTGTTTCTTAAGGCCTATATGTATATAAATTGTTAATTTCAGATCACAATCGAGGCATTTATCTATATAATCTGAAATTTCGCTAATTTTTGCATTTGTTTGTTGATTTGAACACATTGCGAGTTTATCATCTGAAGAACACAGATTTAAATTAGCTTTCCAAATTCTTCAAGTCTCTTCAGGAATTAGCTAGCTCTAGGAAATTTTAAAGAGGTTTTCCACTTTCTAAAGGCACTTGATTTGTTCTTCATGCTTCTTATATATTTGTTTGGCAGTTTGTTGCAGCTCTTTGCTTGGCTCCCTTGCAGTTGATGAACGAGGTTAGTATTTTTTGTGTTTATTTTCTTGGTTGTTAAGTACACTTTGTAGAGTAATATGCTGATTTCCCACTTCATTCTTAGCCTTATAGTTCCCATTTGATGGAGACGGTTCTCACACCATCATTAGTGCATATTATTTATTTGGAGGAGGAAGAGGATGTTGTAGATCATATATGGTTACATACACTGTGAGCTCTGCCTTTTTACTCATTTCATATATGAAAACTTTGAACATTTCTTGGACTTGCTGTTAAAATCACTAGGCCGTAGTATGAACATTTCCTTCTTGATGATAGTGAGCGTTTCCTACATGTTTCTTAGTACTCTTATTGAATTCTCGTCATTGCTTCAATGATATATTTTTCCACATGTTAAGAGCCACCGGGAGAAAGTTAGAGTCGAGTGTTTCATGGTGGTGGGTCGGTCTTTCTGAAACGATTGGAAATCCAACTCGACCTAACCCATTTTCACCTCTAATGTTTAGAGGCGACGGGCAAAATGTTGGAGTCGAGTATTGTGAGATTCCACATTGGTTAGAGAGGGGAACGAAACATCACTTATAAGGGTGTGAAAACCTCTCCCTATCCCTATCAAACACGTTTTAAAATCTAGGGAGGAAGCATTTAAAGTAAAGTTCAAAGAGGACAATATCCGCTAACGGTAGATTTGGGTTGTCACTAGTATTCTGAAATGATTTAAGAAACCAGTTAGGATTTACCATCTCGACCCATTTTCACCGTTCAACTTAGTATAACGTTGATGCAGAGGAATTTGGGAAGGAAAAGGGTGCTCATTGAAATCCAGACGTAGCCATGCATTTATTGTCAGGAAAGAATTCTATTTTCAGTCAAATTTGGAAACAACCAGATCCTCTTGTGGCCATGAATCCAGGGGCTGAGACATTGGCTTCACTATGCCTGTAGCCCATTACACAATCCACTGTGCATTTCCTCATGTTCATGAACCTGAAGTGCAATAGTATAAACTCAAATTCCTCTTCTTTTGTTTACAAACATCAAGGTATTGGTTTTTTTTTCTTCTGATCGTTGGTGTCAGCTTGAGTTCATCTCGACTATTTTCACGGGAGAATCATTTGAGCCTACTATATTTGGTTACCAAAGAAACACAGGATAATAACTCGAGATACAAACTCACTTCCTTTAACCCTTTTATTATCTCCATGCCCGTTATCGATCATTAGGCTAACTCGTGCTGATTTCATATTAAAATATCATTTTAGTCTTCATATATGAGATTTATTTTGTAATAGTCCAAGCCTACCGCCAATAGATATTGTCTGCTTTCCTCACGGTTAGGTTTCCATACCTATATAAGGAATATTTTGTTCATCTCTTCAACTAATATGAAATCTCATAATTCACTCTTTGGGAATTAGCGTCCTCGTTGGCACACTGCTTAGTGTCTAGTTCTTATATATACCATTTGTAATAGCTCAAGCCCACTGCTAGTAGATATTGGCTGCCTTGACCCGTTATGTATTACCGTCAATCTCACGGTTTTAAAATGCGTATGCTAGGAAGATGGTTTTAAAATGCGTATGCTAGGAAGATGTGAAATCTTTTATTTAATTGAAGAAATAATTGGAAAATAAAACAGCAAGTACAAAAATGAGTAATAACCCCCAGTAAAGACTGGTACGATTCAATTCAACATTTTGTTCGTTCGGATTTGATTGTGTCATAGCTCTATAATTCGGATTAGGTTTATCGTTGGATGAACTGCATTGCTGATATTGACCCTAAAAAAGAAACGGTAGGTACAGCTAGTCCGTGAACAGCCAACCATCGCACTGTAAAAATAGGATAAGTTTTATCGATAGTCATTTGTTCCTCCTAAAAAGATCTACTAAATTCATCGAGTTGTTCCAAAGAATCAAAACGGCCAGTTATTAATGGAATTTCTTGTCGGCTCTCTGTAAAATACTCATTTCATTTGTTCCTCCTAAAAAGATCTACTAAATTCATCGAGTTGTTCCAAAGAATCAAAACGGCCAGTTATTAATGGAATTTCTTGTCGGCTCTCTGTAAAATACTCATTTGGACGAGGGCTTCCAAAAACATCGTAAGCTAAACCCGTGCTGACGAATAACCAACCTGCAATGAATAGAGAAGGTATAGTAATGCTATGAATGACCCAGTATCGAATACTGGTGATAATATCAGCAAAAGAACGTTCTCCTGTCGTATTCTATTTTTTTTGATGTAATTTCAAATGTCTAAATTTAGTATAGGTTGAAATATGTTTGAAATATATTTTTAAAAATTGAATTTAGAGATATAAAAAAGAGTAATTTCCATTTAAGAAAAAACATGATATGTTTTTCCTTATAGAGTGAATGATAATTAATTTTTACCTTTAACCTTAAATTAATAATATAAAGTCATTTTAATTTTTTTTTGAAATTATAAATATTAAATTTCGAAATTTAAAATTAACTAAAATGAATTAAGTCGAACAACCCCCCGTGACTTGTTGCTGTTATTATATTATATATTATTATGTATTATTATTACAGAAATATAGAATATTTATTTATTTATTTATTTGCAACCTAAAAAGCGTAGTATCTTACAAGACGTGTGAATATACAAGAGATGCTGAATTTCAGTAATTGTCTTCTCTAAAATTACGCTTACGAGCAATTAATCGCCAATCGCAGAAACCTCACCGGAATAAGGTTAATTGCAGGCCGGAATTTGGATCAATGGCAGCGACGATGAGTATGAGGAAGATGCTGACGGTATCAGCAGCTATGGTCTGCGCCGTAGCCGTAGCGTCTTTATACGGGGCCTCAGCTTCCACGGAAACACGCTTCATCAAGAACACCATCGCCTCGCATCAGATCGTCATCTTCTCCAAGTCCTATTGCCCGTAATTTCCTTCTCATTCCTCTTTCTCTTCTTAATCGATTTATTCAGACTTCATTCTGGATCTATTCGTCTCATTTCTCCAAATCGACTTTTGTTGTTCCGTTCTTGACCCGCTGTGGCCATGTTTTCTATTACTTTTAAGTTTTGTTGCCCTACATTTGGAAGCAGATCGAGGAAGGGGCGAGTTTCCGCTTCTCTTAATTGTTGTTTTTGTGCATACAGGTACTGTAGAAGGGCAAAAGCTGTTTTCAAGGAATTGAACAAAGTTCCTTATGTTGTTGAGCTGGATCAAAGAGGTACTTGCATAATCTGCCTTTTTCTCGTTCTGTTTATCAAAACTAGCAATATCACCATGGTTTAAATCTGATTGAAACTCAGTATGCTTGTTTCTTGTTTTTGTGCTCCTTTTATTGCACGTCTTCTGTTGTTGCCCTGCCAGTATATCTAGATTTCGGACAATTTCATATGAAAATCTTGTTCTGGCCTATGCTCTCCGCATTATGAAAGTATTGGTTAGGATATTACACTTGATATGGGCATGCTTGATATCTAGATTTCGGTAAACTTCATATGAAAATCTTCTCTTATATCTTTTCTGATGATTTTATCTTCATTATTTAAATGAACGATATTTTCAACTTAATTGTGACGGAGTAGTAAGAGAATTTGTGCCTAGTATTGCCTCCAGCCTCTCGAAATGGTGACTGCCTGCGACTGGAATATTTATGTATTAGGTCTTGTGACATGATTCTCTGTAAAATGCTTTCCTCTTCGAAACTAACATGGTCGTTTGGGATCGTCTATTCTCTTCATCTAAAATCCTCACTCTGGCTGAACATATGGCAACTGGTTTAGGCATATACTCTTGACTACGCAGTTAGAGGTTCGAATCCCCCCACCCCATAGACGTGGTTGAACTAAAAAATGTTCAAATTACTCTATCTAATCAGATCACACACTCAGATCCACCCCCCCAAACAACAATGGAAGGTAATTCCTTCTAGTTGTGTTCTTTTGGGAGTTAAGAGAGGGAGGGCAAAGAGTGGGGGATGGTAGAAAACAGCAATGAAAGGGAGAAACGGTGTGCAAGAGTGAGTCCTATTAGCTGTTGCCTGAAATGTCCATTTACTGACAAAACGTTTAGATTATGGGTCGACTAATTATGTATTATGTTGTACAAAATCCTCTTCTTTTTATCTTTTTAGTTGATTTGCAGGTTCTTTGTAATGTTTTTTTCTCTCTTGTTTCCCTTTTCGACATGGGTGGGGAGAATTCAAGCTTTGGATGAATTCTCTAAACGAACTAGCAAAAGGGTTATCAGTAAACATATATCTGGCTTTTGTTTCTGCATCTATGTATATCTGGTGGTATTCCTTCATCTAAAGGTTAATAATACTCATAGAATTTGGATCTGTATCTCACAGAGGATGGCAGTGAGATTCAAGATGCTTTTATGGCACTCATCGGAAGGCGCACTGTACCTCAAGTGTTCGTAAATGGAAAACACATAGGTGGATCAGATGGTAATGGGCTCTTCTATGGCAAATTTTTGTGTGGTAACATATTTCTCCAAGTACTTCTAACTTATTGAAACCCTGATTCCAGATACCATTGAAGCATATGAGAGTGGGAAGTTGAGTAAGCTCCTGGGCATTAATGAAGAGCATAAAGCGGATCTTTGAATCAAACCCTTCTACTGTAAGCAGAGATATTTGCACCAACAGAGTATATTTTGCTTGGATCAGTTGTTCAATTGTAACTCTTAATGGTGGAGGATAAGTTTTCTCTGTAACTCTCTCTCCGTCTCACACCAGTGATAACAATGCTTTTCTTGCAAGGAGATTTTCGAACTTCAATAGATCGAACAATTTTTGCGCGTCTAGTTACGCTTGTTTAACTGGATCCTGTTGGTTTCTTCATTTTCTAGCCAGAGTTTTAAAATTTTATATTTGATGTTGTTGTCATGGTCCAAGTTTACCACTAGTAGATATTGTTGTCTTCGGGCTAAAATCTTAGAGAGAGGTTATCAAGAATGTTTTAAACCCTAGAGAGAGGTTATCAAGAATGTTTTGTTCTTCCCCCCAATTGATATTGAGATCTCGAGTGAGGTTAGTTGAGAGGTGAATATGTTTCGTTCTCCTTTCTAACTAATAACCGATGTGGGATCTCACAGTCATGTTGGTTGAGAGCGAGTATTTGAACTTTCTCACATTCTTGTGATGATATATGGCTATCAGGTTGAACTAGGTGGGTGGATAGTAAACTACCTACATTTTACCATTATTATATAACCATTTTTTATTATATTTTCTAAAAAACAAGTTTAATATCAATTTAATTAGAAGTAACCCACATTTTAAATATTTTTAAATCTGAACCTGAAAATAATAATAAAATTAAACTTTTGTAATATTGATATTTGTTTTTTCAACTTAAATTTTTTTTTTTCTAATATGTTTTTCATCCTCAATATATTAAATTTTTTTTTTAATTTAATTGATTTATGGATGCACAATTGAATACATCTGGTTTTGATTTGTTTTTTTTTTTTTTTTTTTAATTTTTAGTTTTATTTATTTTTCAGTATTATTATTATCCAAAAATTTCAATTCAGCGTAATTCAAGGAACATAAATAAATTTTAAAAAGGAAGGCCAGCAGTTAGTTTGGCTGAAGTACAAACTTAATCGCCGACATTTGCAGCCTTATCGACAAAAGTTGGTTGCAGAGTTGCAGTCGGGAATTTGTATCCATGGCAGCGACGTTGAGTATGAGGATGACGACGATGGTATCAGCAGCCAGGGTTTATGCAATGGCTTCATCTTCCCCGGAGTCGCTCTTCGTCAAGAAAACCATCGCCTCCCACCAGTCCGTCATTTTCTCCAAATCCTATTGCCCGTATTGTCGTTCTCCTTCTTCTCTTCTTTCATTTTTTCTCGCTTCCAGCATCGATCTATTGTTAATCTCATTTCTGCTATTCGACTTTCGTTGTTCTATGTTAACCCGCGGCGGTCATGTGCAACTACTTTAATATTGTTTTTGATTGTGCGATGCAGGTATTGTGAAACGGCAAAAGCTGTTTTCAAGGATTTGAACAAAGTTCCTCATGTTGTTGAGCTGGATCAACGGGGTACTTGCTTAATTTCCCTTCTTCTAGCTCTCTCCCTGTTTATGAATAAGTAACATTAACAATTCTCATATGTAAATACTGCTGAATTTGGGTTAAATCTAATTGAAATTGAGTATGTTTGGTTCCTGCTTTTGGATTCTTCATCTATTTCATGTCTTTGGTTCTGGATCCTGCTAGTTTGTTTAGATTCCAGAAATTTTATATTAAAATCATGTTCTGGCTTGTTCACTCCTGCTATGAAAATGTTGGATTGCGATATCACAGTTGATATTTTTGAAGCTCCAAGTGTTAACTAGATGGCTTACCTTTCTCTTTAGTCATCTATTTTCTTCATCTGCTTATCTTCTGCTTCCATTTTGTTCTTTCCTGATTAATCGTCGCTATTCAAACCTTAGTGTAACACTTAGAAAGAGAATCTGTGCTTAGCATTGCCTCCAACCTCTCTAAACGATGATTACCTGCGACTGCAAAATTTATGTATCTGGTTCTGTGACATAATGCTTTGCCAATTCGAAATTGAAGGTTTTGTTTGGGGAAATTCTACCTCTTCGGCTACAATTTTCAGTCTCTAAGTGTGTTCTTGAAAGGGTAGTTCCTTCTGCTTTATGTGTTCTTTTGAGAGTTTAGGAGAGGGGGCCAAAGAGTGGGAGATGGTAGAGGAAAAGGAGAAAAACTAGGGAGAAAGGGTATGCAGAAGTATGTCTGATTAATGTTGTTTGGATTTTTTTGTTTGCGAGAAAAAAGTTCAAAAAATGCTTGGGATTTATCTTGTGTTGTGTGTGCTTCACAATCTTCTTTCATCTTTCTCAGTTTGTATGCAAGTTGTTTGTCTTGTTCTATATTGGCTAACTAAAAGGAAAAATTATGGGTTTGTGAGTAAATGATACTATCTCCGTTGGTACGAGACATTTTGAGAAAAACCAAAAGTAAAGTCATGAGAGTTATGCTCAAAGTGGATAATATTATATCATTGTGGAGACTCGTTGTTCCTGATATGGTATCAGAGTTATGCCCTTAACCTAGCAATGTCAATAGAACCCTCAACCCTCAAGTGCCGAATAAAGAGTGTATTCTGTTTGAGGGCTCCAGAGAATAGTCGAGCTTTGATTAAGGAGAGGTTGTTAGAGAGCTCTAGAGAAAGAGACCTCAAGAGAGGCTCTATAGAGTTCTTTGTTCGAAAGGAGGATTGTTGAAAATTGTCCCACATTGACTAATTAATTAAGGGGAAGATCATGAGTTTATAAATAAATGACGTTATCTCCATCGATATGATGCCTCTTGGGAAAAACCAAAAGCAAAGCCATGAGAGCTTATGTTCGAAGTGGACAATACCATATCATCGTGAAATGTCTTCTTTCCTACCATTATTGAGTTTAGCTTTTTTATTTCTTTCATTTCATTATGGGGGAGAGAATTCAAGCTTTGGATGAATTCCCTAAATAGACCGGCAAAACTGTTATACCATTAAACATATATCTAACTCTTCTCTTGTTTCCATTTCTGTTCATATATCCTACTGCTATCTCCTTGCTGTTCAATTACTCATAACCTAAAAGTAACTACTTAATTCATAGCATTTGGATCTTTATCCCCCAGATGATGGCAGTGCCATTCAAGATGCTCTTAGTGCACTTGTTGGAAGACGCACTGTTCCTCAAGTGTTCATAGATGGAAAACACATAGGTGGATCAGATGGTAATAGACTCTTCATTGCGCCAACATATTCTTTGTAATATACTCTTCTCCAAAGTGCTTTTAACTGATTGATGCCTTGAATTTCAGATACTGTTGAAGCTTATGAGAGCGGAGAGTTGGGTAAACTCCTGGGCATCAAGGAATAGGATGAAGTTGATCAAACCTTCAATTCTAAGCAAATATCTTTGCACGTACAGAGTTTCTTTTGCTTGAATTATCTGCTTAATTGTATCCCTTAATGCCTACAAGGTACTATTTTGTCTCGAAAATAGGGAATCCGATGCATTTTTGGACGTGAAAATTTATTTTAACGAGACTGATTCTCAATAACAGTTGGATGTAGATTCAAAAATTTGCATGCCTTAATAAACATGGGATACAAATTCTTGATGCTTTTGAAATTCTCTCATACCTCTAACGATTCGAAACTGCTATCCATTTTGTGACAATTTCCTTGAATAATTTTTCATTATAACGGAGTTTTAAAGCTTTATTTATTATATTGAATTGCTTAGTTATACTTGTTTAATAAATTGGTTTAAAAATCTTTATGTAGGTAAGAATACGGGACTATTTATATAGAAAATTGTGAACTCTAAATTAATGCGAATTGAACTAGTAACGATCCAAGCTCATTGCTAGTAGATATTATCTGCTTTGATCATGTCAGCTCAATTTTACAATGAGAGGTTTCTACGTTTTTATTAAGAATGTTTCATTCCCGTTTCATTCCCCTCCTCGACACTGGCTATGATCTCAAGAACTTTTAAAATGGTGACATCTAGGGTTTGAATTAATTTAACTCCTTGAATTAAAATAAATAAATAAATAAATAATTGGGCATCCAAAAACAAACATGCGCGCGAGGAGGTGTTTGTATTAAAGACGACGCAGGCTGTGGCGAGGGAATTGGCAGTTCATTCGATCACTGGGTGCATCATGGAGCAGCAGCAGAAGCTTTGTAGCCATAGCTGCACGTCTACTTCCAAAACCAAACGAAAGAGACGATCCAATTCCGATTTCGATGTCAATACTACTTTCTCTCTTCTTCTCGCCGCCGTCTCTACCCCTCACAATCCCTATGCTGCCTCCTTGATTCCCAAATGCTTGGCGGAGCTCCATTTCGCTCTTCTTCCACATTCTCCACACCCTCTGCAAACTCTTCCGTCTTCAATCCTCTCTCTTCTTCCTCTTCTTATTCTTTCTGAGTAATCCCTCTTTCGGTTCTTTTACCTGCCATTGGATTGACATATTCTGTTTGTTTCTTAATTTGTTTGTTTTTTTTTTTTTTTTCTCTTCTTGTTGTAGGCGCCAAGGAATTGCTTCTCGTGCTGCTGAGATTGTGGGCGCTGCTTCGCTTCTTTCGCTCCGTATGAATGAAGTGATTGCTTCGGCTGATGGGGTTGTGAGGGCTTTGATCTCGGCCTTGGCGTGTTCCAAGAGAAGGGTTGCGTTGGCTGCTTGTAATGCTGTTATGGATTTGTCCACCACGTCCTTTGGGCGGGAAAGCTTGGTTGAGTTCTCTGCTATCGAGCGTCTTATGTAAGTATATATTGCTATTGTTTCATATGGTGCAATGGGCTTGGCTGTGAACTTAACTCTGTTCTTCATTTTGATTTTGTACCCCTGCATCTTTGCATTTTAAACAAGCACATGAGAAAGAAGGGTACGACTTAAATGCACTTTGTGCTTCTCTACAATTCATTTCAGCCATGATTAATGTGACAAATATTACGAGTTGCTGGTGTGATAGTTTGTGCCGTGAATCACAGTTATGTAAGTTTCGAGCATTTTCTTGGATAACTGAACTTAATATCTACTAGATCTGCATTTTTGCAGGTTTCAGCCTCTTCAGCGATGTCAGTTTCCATAGGCACTGTATATATTGAAAATTCTGCAATCCTGAAGGCAGGATTTGAAGGAGATGAGCTTTCAATATCAATTCTGAATGCAGCTATAGTTCTATTGAACACTTGCCATTTCAAACATTTGGAAAAGATACCACGCTACTACTTGAAGACATTCTTGACATTTTTGCAAAAGCAATGGATAGAAGTGCGTAGTAAAATGATGCAAATTAACAAAATCGAGTGCAGCTGGCAGGAGCAATTCAAAATCAGCAATATTAGCACCAATGATTTGGCCGTGTGTATTTTTAGGCTTTCCATCAGTACCGATCGAGTTAGCAGAGTTTTTCTGGTGAAGGAGGTTAAAACGTTATTGGGTTTAAGTGGGTTGAACTTTGAAGAATTCATGCTTAACCACTGGGAATCATCGCCTTGTCTCATGCAGAAATCCTCAACAACCATAAATGAAGAAGCTGATATTATCGGATCATTTGTGGGATCTATAACCTCAATTGAAACAAATCTCTCCTTTATTTCATCAATGCTTGGAAGATTAGTTTCTTGTAATCCTATTGCCTCAGATGAACTAGACATACATAATTTCTTAGAGGAGGCACGAAATGAATTGGGATTTCCTTTAATTTATCAGCAAGATATACGTGTCTTGAGAACTGATGAGTGTTTGAAAAGAGAGATACATTTCTTTCAGAAAACTTTTGAGCCATGTTGCTTAAAGGGTCCTCATTTCTTAAAGTTAAATGATGCGCTGAAGTGTGAAGAAGCTTTTAAAGAGGGTTATACAATTGCTCTGCGTGGCATGGAATTTCGGTATGAGAAGATTGCTGCAATTGCAAATACTTTAGCATCTCTGTTTGGTCAGCCATCTGTAGGTGCTAATATGTACTTGACTCCTCCAGGTTCTCAGGGTTTGGCTCGTCATTATGATGATCATTGTGTGTTTGTATGCCAGCTTGCTGGAAGCAAGCAGTGGACAGTTTTTAGTCCGCCAAAGATGTGTTTACCTCGCTTGTATGATGCTAATGAATTCCCACGTTGTTCTGAGGTTGAGAGTCCATTGGCGGTTGGAAGGCAGTTTTTACTAAGGGAGGGTGATGTATTATATATTCCTAGAGGATTTCTTCACGAGGCTCGTACTGAAAATAATGGTCCTGATGGGTCTTCTCTACACCTTACCTTTGGTATTGAGGTCGAACCACCTTTTGAGTAAGTCAATGGGAACTTTTGTTTGAATTTTAGATGACTTGATTGATTAATCTTTCTTTTGGTTTATTGCATTTCACTTCATGTAGTTTAACTATAATCTGAAGAAGTTGATGGAGAATAGTTTTTGAGATGCTATAATGACAAATGGGAAGAAATTTTCCTAGATGTGTAAAGATCTACGAGTAACCGAAGGGATTATTTAACTAAGTAGCTAGATTCACTTGAGGGGTCTTTCAATTCAAAATAGTTTTTGAGGTGTTCCCTAAATATTTTTGTCATGGTCATTAAGTTCAAAATCTCTTGAAATTGGTATCCCATCAAGTACTTTTTTCTCTTATTTATTTATTTATTTTTTTGTTAAGCTATTATGGTTTTAAGGACATCTGCAATCACGGATTTGGTGAACATTAAAAGCTATGATATTTCTATCTAGGGCTTACATATTTGAGGTAAAAGTCTAGCCTGTTACCAGCCAGAAGTTTTGAAGAATTTGTTTTAGATCATTATAACCATTAGAAATCAATCATTTTTCATTCTAATAGGATTGAAGGCATGACACTGAAATGAGTAAGAAAGAAAATATGTTTTTAGACACAGTGATGTATGCTTAATAATTCTGTTGATTACGCCAAACGCTCATAATTCTATCAGCTTTTTCATTTATTCTGTTGTATTATGTAAGTGCGGCTGTTCCTGTAATATATTTACTGCAGTGTTCTCGTCAGTGATATTGACGTGTTTTTTTATTCTTAATAAGCATATCCAGTTACATTTACTTCCCATCCTGATACTTGAAGCACTTGTATGAACAAGGATTTCCAGTTGTAGTGCTTGTTGTCCTTATATTTAATTGGCTGATTCTCAATGTATGAATCGGTTTTCATTCGACTCAAGAGATGGCGTTTACTTTCTTGTAAGGAATTAGCAGTCTTGCCCTCTTTCAAATCAGCTCAGCGAGTAGTGGCTGAGACATCTTCACTGTGGTGTAATTGCATCACTAATGCTGAAAATTTGTTTCAAAATAAAATGTTACTTATCTGTGTCTCGAATTTTAAATTGAGGCAAACAGGATAAATAAAATGTTTAAATACCTTTTGGAGTGTCTTTTTTGGTAGACCAATATATTGTACCATCTGAAAACTGAGGAACAAATCATGTGCTGTTACTAACGTGCTTTTAGTAAAGTATGGAACCTTGACATGTTTCCATGGGACACGAGCAACATTTTGGGCCCAATGCGTCTGGAAAAGCAGGTGTTTGATGCCCATAATTCATGTTGGATTCTCCATTTTCTAAAATTGGACTTTGAATTTGTGGATCCCATGGGATTTAATCAGACAGCTATTATGCTTATAGAATTGTCTTATAGCGAGAACCTTCATATGATGATCATTAAGTTATGATTTTGTGTTCTTGTGTAAATTCATCAGGGTTCACTGTCCTAGTAAAAGCCTAAAATTTGTCATTATTGCATTGCTAGTTCCTGGTTGCACAAAGATTTATTGTGGTTAAGTTCACATGCAAGTGCATTTTACCTAGTTATTAACGTATCTACACGGTTTTATGCCATAACTTTTAATTGGTTCTATGACATTTTTCTAAAACTGTAGTTGTTTTAGTTCGGTTGAATGATTATTTTTCAAATCTAGTATAGAACAAGGTGACTGTTAGACTTGTAGACCGCCACATCAAAGAGCATATAATCTCTCAGCTTTCTATATTTAGTGAATTGTTTGAAGTCTCTTTTCTGTAACTTCGATAAAAGTTGCCTGGAAGTTAAAATTCCCAAGGATCAGAGTATTTTATTTACTTTGTTCTCCTTTTTTCCTATTTCAGGTGGGAAGGATTTGTTCATACTGCTGTCTATTGTTGGAAATGGAATGATAACCCAAAGCAATATGATACTTTGTTTGGAACTATGTCTGTAGAACTGCTGCACTTGGCAATTTGGTTAATTAGTGTATCTGATCATAACTTTCGAAAGGCTTGCTTGGTAGAAGCAAGTTCTCTGCCCTCAGATAACAATAATATGCTTGCCCTGAACCAGAAGACTATTTTCAGTAGATTGATAGATAAAATTAGTAGAGAGTCAAACTTCTTGGAAGTGCTTGCTGGTATTAAAATTTCAGTTGAGAAAGACGAAGACCCCTTTCATCGGATGAGATGGCTTAGGCTTCTCAATGTAGATGAAAAAGAAAGCGTCAAAGAAGATCAGTGGACTATGCCCTCAATTGGTATCAGAGATCTGTTATCTACTTGTGCTACTCATAGAGAAAAGGTAGAAACTACATTTGTGGAGGTGAAGTCCAGATTTTGTAGGGAAGTTCGATTTGAGAATGCTGTGGAGTGCTACAAAAAGTTGCTCGAGAGGTTCAGAAATGTCAGAAGTCAATACACAACAGGAATGATTTCTTTGCATTCAATTACGAGTGATTAATGTGTCTGGTTCTTTGCCAACTATGTTTCCTATTTCGAGCTATTGAGTTTCATATATATTTTGGCAAGTTCCGAGCTCAAGTAAGCACGAAAGTCTGACTTATCTGCAATGATTCTATCGTATATGAAAAAAACGAGCATTTGATAGATTATAAAACAAAAGAGAGTATCTGAAGTTCAGTACACGTATGAATAGTTCATTTCATCTTTAAAGTTGATATGTTGTCTATGGCTATGGATGTTTGGGCGTCGGATTTGGATGCGTTGTCACTCCATGATAATCAATGTGGTAGACAAGTTCGCCCATACGGTCGATACTTGCTTCATATTCAGGTATGTTGGAGGAAATATCTTTTGCAGATGGTCTATTGAACTCGTCTTCGTGAACCTGCATTTTGGCATATCCATAACCATAAATAAGGAAATATCAGTACATGTTTAGGGTGGTGAAATCCATTGGCACAGGTTAGTATTTGTTTCATACCTCGACTTTGAGGAATTCAGATTCGGGATTGGAAAATGATGAACCAAGGTACTTTCTTGCAGGTCTTCCTGTGGAGGGGGGTGGAGATTGCAAACGATGCACTGAAAGAAGATAGAAGAGATTAAAGAGAAGGAAAAAGAAAAGAAAATGTGAGGATCCCATTTCTTGACTCTTATCTTCTCTAATAAATATCAGGTTATGTAGATTATAGGGATTGAAAGAGATAGGTTTGGAGCAATATATAGAGGGAGCTTTTTATGCATACTCCTTTGGAGATCTAGAGTGTGTGTGTGTGTGTGTGAAAGAGAGAGAGAGAGAGAGAGAGAGAGAGAGAGAGAGAGAGAATCAATTATTGGTCCATGGCGGAAGGGAGACAAGGACTAGCTTATGCTTGTGATTTTGTTTCTCATTCATAACGAAATAGACCCAATACCTACCAAGATAACCATCTCCTTCATCAAGTCATTTACGCTTTTCGGCCTGACTTAACCGATGTTATAATTTCACGTGTTTGTTCCATGCCAAACAGAACCACTCCTGGCAAGATGGCTCACCCATGTTTTGTCCTTCATTGAGGACTCCCATTTGGTTCCTTTTACGCCTTTACTTTCTCTCTCCCCTCTCCCCTCTCTTCTGTCTTGTCCTTGTAATAGCCGAGGTCCGCCGCTAGCAAATATTGTTTTTTTTTTTCTTTTCCTCAAAGTTTTTAAAACAGGTATGATAGAGAGATATTTCTACACTCTTATAAAGAATGTTTCGTTCTCCTCTGCAATTGATGTGGAATCTCACAGTCCATCTCCCTTTGAGACCCAACGTCCTTGCTGGCATTTGTTCCCTTCTCCAGTCGATGTGGGACCCTCTAATCCACCCCCTTCGTGGCCCAATGTCCTTGTTGGCTCTTGTTCCCTTCTCCAGCCGATGTGGGACCCTCCAATCCACTCCCTTCATGGCCTAGCATCCTTGTGTCAACCGCCCATTCGGGGCTTAGCCTCCTCGTTGGCACATCGCCCAGTGTATGGCTCTGATATCATTTGTAATAGCTCAAGTCCACCGCTAGCAGATATTGTCCTCGTTCATATGCTAGATGCTTTTTTCTAGAAAGAAAAACTTCCAATTTCAAACTTAAACCCAATTTTTTTGGTCAAAACATTTCCAATTTTGTTGTGACATGTGAGATCTATCTGCACAGGTTGTAACTTGTAAATTTGAACATAAATATGGCATCTGAAGCCTCGGAGTTTTTTGGTGCAGATGGTCGGCATTCTAGTGCTGTATGCAATAAATGTATGGCACTGAAAGAGGTGTGCATTTCTCAACTTTTCAACGTGATTGATTGTTGCAATAGTTTAACATCACCAATGGCTGCACTGGAGATTCCCCAGTGACAAATGATTTGAAAGGGAAGTGGTAAAGTGAATTAATCAACTGATGTAAGTGTCTTCAATCCAGGCTTCATGACATGACTTCCTTTTGTTTTGTTTTATTTCTATGAATATGAACACTTCGTCGAATGACAAGATTTAACTCATAATAAATAGATACCGACAATTTCATAAATGATTAGCGTTCTTTATTTCTATTCAACAATATACTAATAGGTTATAATTTTTTTACAGAAGAGTTCTTATTTGAGACTTTTGGAGATTGCTCGATGGTGGGAATGGATTATAGAATGGGCTAGAAAAAGGGTTAATTGCTTGAATGACTTCAGGTAAACATTCCAGTTCAAAAAAATTTTAAGAGTATTTTTAAAGTCAAGAGTATATTGAAACTTTGAAAAGTTTCTAAATAAATTAAGTAGATAGTGATATAGGATTAAAAGAAGAGTTTAGTTCATTGAAGTTATGATATGAATGGTAGCAACATGTGTATGGAAATGCAAGCATATTATAATGTCCAATAATCATTACAAACCCTAAGTTATTTCAAATATGAACACAAAGAAAAACCCTAAACTTATATAATTGAAATCCAGTTCCTAAGTTAGAAAATGTGACCTTTTGGGTCCAAACACTACCAACAAAAATAGACACGTAAATTTGGCAGTTTTCTTCTTCCCATTTTCAAATCCAACAAAAGATAAACTTAATCCACTCCTTTGAAGGTCCAGTGTTCTCATTGGCTCATTGTTTGGCGTCGGACATTGATACTATTGATAATGGCTCAAGTTCACATCTAGTAGATATTGTCCGCTTTTGTCCGTTATATATCAACGTCAGCCTCACATTTTAAAAAGTGTCTGTAGGAGAGAGGTTTCTACACATTTATAAGAAATGTTTCGTTCTCCTCTTCAACCGATTGAGATTTCTCGATCCAAACCTCTTGTGTAACTCAAAGAAAGAATGAAAATAATGAAAATACCAAGTAGTTGATAAAGAAGATGATTAAAGAATGAAAATAAATATAATATTTAGAAAAGACAAAGTCAAAGAAAGATATTGGTCAAATGCATTTAAGGAAGATCTTGGTTTGGTCTTAGGAGTCAGAGTTGTGTAACTCATGCTTTAACTCTTAAAAAATTCTTATTCTCATTCTTAAATTCTCTCTCTCTCTCTCTCCTTCTCTTAATTAAAACTCATTTAACAAAATTCATTCATAAACCCAATAATTAAAACTCAAAACTGATGATCATAAACTGATTCTACTTGAAACCTCCTTCCCAACTCTCTCTTAATTAATCCCCACCTTACCCTTCTTCTCCAAATCCCATCTCTCTCTCTCTCTCTCTCTAAACCGCCATGGGAGACCAAGATGAGCTCTGCAACACCAGGCTTGGCCTTGCCTTAGGATTTGGCGATTATGTTCCAAAAAAGATGCAGAAAGCCAACAAACAGCCCAAGTTCTTGTCTGACCTCTCTTTCTCTCTCATTCCAAGACAGGAATCCGCCATTAACATGCAGCTTCAAGCTAATGAACCCTCCAAGGATTCCTCCTTTGGAATTAGTAGAGATCGGTCATCCACTAATTATAATTGCAACGCCATTAGTGGTGGATTAGAAAGAGAGAGAAAAAAGCTTAGGCTTTCCCAAGAACAGCTCACTTTGCTTGAAGAAACCTTCAAACTTCACACCACCTTGAATCTGGTAACCCTTTATTATTATTTCCACAACCCATTTCACCCTTTTTCCTTCTTTTCATTTTTCTTAAATACCCATCAAATTTTCTTACGAAAAATTTAAACTTTTCTCTGTTTTTGCATGGATTTGCAGGCCCAGAAACTAGCACTTGCCCAGCAATTAAACCTCAAAGCTCGACAAGTGGAAGTTTGGTTTCAAAACAGGCGTGCAAGGTTAGTATTGTCGAGGATTGTCGGGAGATTATATACGTTTATAGATAAGTAATATATCTCCATCGATATGAAATCTTTTGGAAAAACATGTTTAGATTCAAAGTGGACAATATCATAGTATCGTAGAGAGTCGTGGTTCTTAATTTTTTAAAAATTGGACTGTGGATTCAAATGTTTTTTTTATCGAACAGGTCGAAATTGAAACAAACAGAAGTAGATTGCGAGTTCTTGAAGAAATATTGCGAAAGGCTGAAGGAAGAGAATGGAAGGTTGAAGAAAGAGTTGCAGGAATTAAGATCCACAAAACTTGGAGCTTCACAATTGTATATTCAGCTACCTAAGGCGGCGACGCTCACAATTTGTCCCTCATGCGACAAAACTACGAGGCCGGCCGCCGCCGTGGAGGCCCATTCTCCGCCACAATAATTTTCTTTTTTTTATTACAGAAAAAAAAGAATTAATTCAATTCTCAATAACAATACAATCTCTTTAGATTATTAGAATTAATCTAATCTATGTTATGAAAAGAAAAAGAAGCATTTTTCCGATAAAATGATGGTTTTTTTTTTTTTAATGATTTTTTACTTTTAAATTTGTGTCTAATAAATTTATGATACATAAAATTGAAAATTTAGAGATAGATTATATATTTTTGAAAGTCGAGGACCTCGAGAAATATAGATTTCAAAATTTATGGATTAAAAGTGTAATTTAGACGAAAATTTGAGAGGAAATTAATTAACGAGTTTGTTCGGGTTATTAGCCCCGCAAAAATGAATGAGAAATTGGGTCTAAATTTATTCTTTGGTCCATAGACTACATTAAATTGGTTGCAAAAGAGTTCAACTTTTACAATGTAAACAAAGTTCTTATCTTTGAGTTGAAAAATATAATTTTGTGACTTCTGGTTACCATATTATTATTAATATTAATACTAAAAGTAAAAAAAATTTGTTTCCATATAAATTTGCATTAAAAAAAAAATCAACGAAATAAATAAATAAATAAAATCTCCAGTGTATCTTTCGTCAATAAAGATATCGAAGTTTCAATTTTATAGAAATGTAATGAAAATATCAATAAAACACCAAAATTGACGGATTTTATGAAAAAATAATAAGCAAATAATCTTTATATGATGAAACAAATGACAGTCAGTGAACACAGTATCAATTAGCCTGATTAGATCAAAAGACTCGATATTATTCAAAAACGTGCAACACTACATAACTTATTAATCAGTCCTTTATCAATGTCACCTATGTTATCTCCTCACCTGCAAAGTTTATGAGAAGTGAGTACGTTAAATACTCAGTAAATAGTTTCGTTACACTAATGCACTATAAATTTTATCTCATATTACTTATTATAACTTATACATTAGTGATCTAGCTAAAATGAAAACGGATGATAAGAGTAAATATCAGTTAGTAGAGTCATAATTATATCGAACAATTGCCAGTATACATGAACGTAAGCTTGGGATTAGAGACGTGCTATCATATGTACTCATCTATCCTACATTATAGGAAGAGTAACCGTCATGTTTATCATAATTACGAGCATACAACATGCATGAGATCCTATAATATGTTAAGCCAATACTAATTATAAAGGAAGTTGAAAACTCCGATCTAATTTAACGTGCATACGTATTATTACGGGGAAATTAAGTTAATTTAACTTTTAAATATTGAGTTATTTTTAATTGAGTGATTTAATGTAAATAAAGTTGTGGGAATTATTTAGCTTATACCACAAAAGACTTTTTGGGTTTTAGGGACCAATATTTTTCTTTCATTTTAAATGATTGCCTCCACTAAATAATTAAACTAACTTACTCCCATTTATTACCTCCAAACTCATTTTTAACTGTGGTAAAAGAAGTTTTACTTTGTGACCAAAACTTAATTCATTCCAGTAATTTTTTTTTTTTTTTTAAATTTGACGGTTCACTTTTGACTTAAATATTATTCACTCGATGTCTTTTAGATTTTTTATGTCTGCTCCTCAATTCGTTTCTCGTCTTCCTCCGCTTTGATTAATAAAATATGTCTTAATCCATTGAAATAAGTTCAGATGGTTGGATGAAAGTTCCACCTCTGCTAATTTAGAGAATGATCATGAGTTTACAAGTAAGGAATACTCTGTCTTTTCGAGAAGCCCAGAGCAAATGCATGAGAGATGATGTTTAAAGTGGACAATATCATATAATCGTGGAGAGTTATTTAACATGTATTAGAGTCATGCCCTAAATTTAGCATGTCAATAGAATCCTCAAATGTCGAACAAAGAACTCCAAAAGAAAAGAAGTCGAGCCTCAAACTACATTCCTTAGAGATTTCCTATTTACTTCTACGAGGATTGAGTAAGGATTCTGAAAGCATGCATAAATTTGTTTATCACCAATGCTTGCTAGCCTCGAGATAGTTTCGTGCCACAAAGCAAAGCCTAGGAGTTCCACCAATCCTCGCATTGACTCTTGTCTTCGTCTAGGGTCGTGAACTTGATCCCAAAAATATATGGGTTGATTGACTATCTCCGCTATGTTGTTGCTAGTAAATACCATTATTTCATTTCTTTGGGTTACTGGTCATGCATCGAAAGTTTCAGACTCTCTGTGCAAAATTCACCATTAGCTGGGTTGATGAGGTGGGATGAGGTTGGAGTATATAAACTCCGCCTCCGACCCTGTTTAACTAACATGGAGAAATCTCTCCACTCCCTCTCATTTCTCAGAAGATGTTGTTTATGGCTCACGACCGTGTTCGAGACGACGAGAGCTTGACAATAATCATCAGATGCAAGGTGTTGAGGAACCAGCTCCATTGTTGTGAGTGCTTCTTCTTGAGCTATGAGAAGATGATCCATAATAATAATGGCACCACTTTTGTTGAGGACAAAAGGGTGGTTCCTACTTGACCTAACCCACTTCATAATTAGTACACTTTTTGAGACATACACGAAGTGATCGATATAAACTTTAACCTGTTCATCTAGATTTTATTTTACATTTTCTCTCTCTTCAGTTAGTTGTATTCATCTCTATTCTTCATTGCTTTTTTTCTCTCGTGTTCTTTGTATTTATCTCGTGTAAGCATTGTTGTGCGATCTTAACACATTTAACTCTAGGGATGAAGGTATGCGGAAACCCACCCTTCATAGGGTGGAGAGTTTGTGTTCAAATGGAAAATGAGAGAGTAGAGAGATTTTTATGTGATAGCTAAATGAGGCCAAATGACCCCACATGGAGGTCGAGAACGGGCACGACCCCCCACCCGGCCCCACCTTGCTAATTTGTGTAAATGGAAAATGAGAGAGAGTGGAGAGAAATTTTTCTCTGATAGCTAAACGGAGTGAGAACCGGGCTAAGTTTCCCATTCGAAGTTCATAGCAATGAGTTAATTAGGAAGAGAGAGAAGAGAAAATGAAATCCCACCAATATTTGGGAAAGGGCAATGAATTGAATAGTGGCCTGTTTTCTTTGTAGCAGCTGACAAACAACTCTGCTCACTGTCCATTCAATTTCTAAACTACTTTCCCATTAAAACTTACCTTTCACCCATTTACTTCCCTCTCCCTACTTCTCGATGATTTAAGAACGTTCAGACGTGTTGTGAGACTCCACATAGATTAGATAGAAAAACAAATAGGCTGATGGCAATCTGTAACGGGTCAAAGCGGATAATATCTGCTAGCGGTGGGCTTTAGCTCTCATAAATGATATCAGAGCCAAACATGGGGCGGTGTGCCAACAAAGACATAGGGCTCCCAAGGGGCGTGGATTGTGAGATCCCACATTGATTGGATAGAGAAACGGTTGGAAACCTCTCCCTAACGCGTTTTAAAATCGTGAGGCTAACGATCATACATAATGGGCCAAAATCCACTGGCCCATATCCACCGCTAGCAGATATTATCCTCTTTAGGCTTTCCCTTTCGGGCTTCTCCTCAAGGCTTTAAAACACGTCTGTTAGGGGAAGGTTTCCACACCCTTATAAATGGTGGTTTGTTCTCCTCCCCAATCAATGTGGGACATCACAGACTATTACGATGAGATTGACTTAGTGGAAGGATTGCATAGATACCCATGCTACATCTATGCTTGGCCCAAACTAAAATTGGAAGGGTATTGTTTCGTAAGCTAGGGTTTGTGAAAAATTCTACGTCGACGATGACATCAATGACTTCATTGACCTAGCAGCAACACATGCATAGTGGTTCATACAACAAGCATCCAAACCATCGCAAGGGCGTTTCCCAAAACACCCACGGAACGAAAGTCAATTACAAAAACTTAAATATCATATACGAGTAATTACATTTTTTTCAGTTACAAATAAACGTGTTTTTCACATGAGTTAAAGATTAAAAAAGCTTCCAAGCTCTTTGTTTGTTCATATTAAACTTCTTTAGTCGTCCAAAGATCATGACAACAATAAGAACCAGCTTTCCATTGTCACTCCATTTTCCCGCAAATCCAAACGACTTGTCGACACAAACGCTCGAAGGGTAAAGTTGTCTTTTGCAGCTATATCCCAGTGAAAACCCCACATTTCCATATGCACTGTCCAAATCAAATATACATTTTAGAAATTCAATTCACATAAACGTCAATAAACCCTAAAAATTGATATCGATAACTTTTTGATTCAATTACGATATAGCTACCCGATACTCTATTACCTGATAACTTCGAAAATAATGTTGAACAGACTGAAATTAAGAGAATCGTCCTTGATGTTACGTCTTTCTGTAACGCATATAATAAAGACGAACATTATCAAATAAAAGAGTTGGGAGAAGAGGAAATTATCCATAAATTTGGCCCTTTTAATTCTTCCATCTCCTTCATCAATCTTTATTGGCATGAAAGAAGTATAAGGTGGAAGATACCTGTAAATTTTAAAAATTTTAAATCCATCAATAAAAAATTTTAAAAAATAATAATAATTACAGAATAAATAAATATTTAATATAAAATATATGCATTAGGCTCATAAGTCAAACAATTACAAATAATTAAAATGAAATTAGGACTTCTGGAAATAAATAAATAAATAAATAAAAACCAGACAGTCATCCTTAAAAACAAATCATTGAGTGTCTTATTTATATTTTAATTTATATTTATTATAAATAATAGTTGAAAATTTGATTATTTTTAATTTTTTAAAATTAATTCTTTTTTGTATAGTATTATATATTATTTAGTAATATTTTTAAAAAATCCAAACTAATTTTAAAAATTAAAAAATTTTAAAATTGGGTTATAAATCCAAACGTAAAAGAAGAAAATAAGTCTAAATTTTTAAAAACAAAAATAAAATAGTTTTCAAATGAGATATTAATTATATATATATATATACATATATATATATATGTATGTATGTATGTATTTTAATTTTATTTTTAAATTTAAAATCATACTATGAATCCAAACAAGTTTGAATTCATAGTCAACTTCAAAAAAAAATAAAAATAAAAATTTAATTTCTTTTAAAACTTAAATTTTGAAAATGGTTATCAACAAACAAAAAG